AATTTGCATAATTAATTAATTTTCAGCTTTTGGATATATCAAGTAGTAATCATCATATTTCAATGAGACTTGCTACATAGATCTTCTTAGGATTATGCAGAGGACCTAATTAGTTTTTATATAATTGGATATTAATTGGGTAAATATTTATGCTTATTAATCACCTAATTAACATAATTAATTAACACTGATATCTCAATTACTGATCATCACATTTGAATAAAATTTGGTACATAAATGCTCTAGGACAATAGACAGGCCTGATTAATTTTGGGTTAAAATTTGTTCATATTAATTTCTAATTAGCATAATAATTCATAATTTTTTTGTTCTGTTCTGTTCATATTACCGGTAGTTACCTGATGTATATAATTAGTTTACAGCTTTTCCATCAATATCTCATGTAAAAGTACTTTTGAATTAATTTTTAATGTGTCTTCAATACTCTCAGCACACAGGAGTTCTTTCTAAGCTTTCTTTGATTAAATTTGATTTCATGCATAACGCGGGATCTCACAAGGAACAGAAAATGGTTTATTCCCATGACTTTTTTTTATTGCATATCACATACTTACATACCTTCATCTTAAAAAGTCTTGATGTCAATGTTTCTGGAGTGTAGAATTTCCATGGTGATGTTCATGTCAGTATCTGCATGCCACCTGACTGTATATCATTTTTACATTCAAGAACCTGACACTGAACGAATCAAGAAGAGGGCTGGCAAACTGATTGGCGAGTTCAAAGACTTGGTCTTTCCTGATGGCTATGATCCAGATGCAACACCAGCTAAGAGAAAGGTACGTCAATCTGCACACATGACGAAATCTCTCTATCTTAGCTTTGCACTGTCGTACAGCAATGCAGGGTGACATTGTTACATTACATCTGAGGCAACTTTCAAATTGAGAAAATTAGGGATGGGATTGGGATGTGTGAAGAGTGATCACTTGCCATATCAAAACAATGTTTGTAATAAGAGTGTAAGCCAAAAGTAATTCATTTTACTTGTTCACTGTTTTATATGACACTGAGAATCATGATTTGAAGTCGGAATAACTCTTATTTTTTTTTTCTCATTGTTAAGTCAATACAAATTATATTTTGACAATTTTACACCAATTTTATTATTGACCACTTCAAGTGATTTTGTTGTCTTCAATTAATTATTGATCTAGACTGCATTGATAAAGTACTGGAATTTTGTAAAAGACAAAATGCAACAATGTTCAATCCCATGTAGGCTGCAGTGCCTTTGTTATAGAACTAAAAAGGGTATTTCTCCAATTGCACATAATGCGAATACATTAGTAGTTTCTGTGTCTCTATTTTTGTTTGCAGTCCCTTTTTTTATTGGCATTGCTGCTTTTTTTTGTGGTATAGATACTGTAAAATACATTATTTTTGTTTGGAATTAATTTTCGCTATTTTCGCTGAAGGAATGATTCAGTGAAAATAAATTCCATACAAAACACCCATAAAGTGTTTTCAGCGAAAATTAATTCCACTTAAAATAATGTATTTCACAGTATACTGCATGTCCATATAGGGTTTGCATGCCTAAATATGGTGTAATAAATACCCAGATGTTATAGCTGTTGCCATATTAGTATAGCACCAAAAAGCAAGAAACCATCTACCATACATACATATACTGTGTCATTGATTACATGTTTGTTTCAGGCGGCTGTTGGTGGAGGTGCCCCTGCTAAGAAGGCAAGAGTTGTCAGTGATATCAACTTTGAGGAAGAAGCAAAAGCCGGCAGGGTGAGAAATATTTCTAAAAATACATTAGCATAAATTTCAATTAATTTACATAAGACAGTCTTATTCTGGAAGTTTGAAATAATTTGGGAATGACAGTGCTCTGTAAAATAATCATGTACTTCGCTTCATGAATTTCAAGATGGTACATCAATGAACATAATTAGTTGATAATTGAGTTTCCTATGAACTGACTAGCCTAGAATCTACGCAACATTCTATTCACTATACATTGCCTAGATACGTTGCTAGCAATTATTATCTGGAATCGAGTAGTGTTTGTAAATTTGATTGGTTAATTGATTTAAGAAGCTGTCAACGTTAAACATGTGTATCATGTGAAGGCAGCCTAATTGACATCGAGTTCATGGTAGTTCAGTTACTCTGGTCGTAGATAGTAAACAAAAGCAGATGAAAAAAAACCAAGATCATTTAGTCTACAGTGTTACGAATGTCTTGTGCAACTCCTAATTTTCGCATGACTCCAAGTGTTGGAATTGTAAAAAAAAGCATGAAAGCAAAAACGCTTTGACAAACATTGATATAAGTACTGTAAATTGTCTCATCTTTAAAATTTATTGATAGTTTTATGATTGCTCAACAATGTAAAAACCTTTATTAACTTGTTAACTAAAAAAGAAATGTCACACTGTCTTTACGGTATTAATAAAGAATTCTATTCTATATATAAGCTTACAGATGTTGTGTAGATAGTTATAGTAATATGCTTAAATAGTAACTTTTTGAGTGTCTGAATTGCAGATAAATTTTTTTTCACTTGTTTTTCCTCTGAAATTTGCATATATTTAGTGTAATCTTCGTTTTTTGGTTATGAACTGACCAACCATTTATGAGTTTTCTAGAAATATTTTGAAATATGAAACAATTGGAAAACATTTCAATAAGATTTTAAAACAGTTAATTTTTCAAAGACTTGTAATGTACATTGTTGTGTACATGGAATTCCAACCTTTTCCGTAATTTAAATATTCTGTGTTTTAAGTACTGGCTAGCATAATTAAAATTCTAATACTGTTTTATTTGATTCCTTTCTACAGCTTGGTAAGCTGACAGTGATAGTACTGAAAGAATTCTGTAAATGCAATGGTTTGTCATCAGTTGGTAAGAAGCAGGATCTTATTGAAACCATTAGTCAACACTTTGGTGTTTAAATTCTTGTAACCATAGTAATTTGTTTTAATTGTTTTTTTTTTGTAAGACTTATCATTTTTTATCACTACAGTAACTAGTTAAATATTGATATTACAAATTCGTAATGTAGTGTTGTGTCAATAGGGGAAAATATGTAAATTTTTAGCCCCGACTTGTAGATTGACCTCCGTAGATTGATTGAGTCTCAAACATGCCTGGACCGATCAGATTGACCTACGTGGATTGAGTCTCAAACATGCCTGGACCGATCAGATTGACCTCCGTGGATTGAGTCTCAAACATGCCTGGACCGATCAGATTGACCTCCGTAGGATTGAGTCTCAAACATGCCTGGACCGATCAGATTGACCTTCGTGGATTGAGTCTCAAACATGCCTGGACTGATCAGATTGACCTACCTTCGTGGATTGAGTCTCAAACATGGCTGGACCGATCAGATTTACCTCTGTGGATTGAGTCTCAAACATGCCTGGACCGATCAGATTGACCTACGTGGATTGAGTCTCAAACATGCCTGGACCGATCAGATTGACCTACGTGGATTGAGTCTCAAACATGCCTGGACCGATCAGATTGACCTCCGTGGATTGAGTCTCAAACATGCCTGGACCGATCAGATTGACCTCCGTGGATTGAGTCTCAAACATGCCTGGATCGTTCACATTCACGCTTCACACAGACATTGCATACATATGTATGTACGTCCATTCTTTTCATAATCTGATTCAAGATAGTTGAATGGTGGCCAATTTCTGAAATTCAAGCATTTTTTTTCATTCCCAAACTTGTTCTTAGTCGTGTAATAGACGGATTTTGTTCGAACTTGGTACATAAGTCAACATAATAGGATGCATGTCTTGTTTTTTTAAAACTTATTCAAAATGGCTGACTGACAAACTTTTTTTTTTTTTACAATACTGTTATATATCCGAGAGCTGTACATATCTGACATGCCTTGAGCGATTGCAGTCAAACTTTATTGTACATCATCATACAATTACTGATATGCATTTGTTTCATGTTCTGATTCAAAATGGCCGACTAATTTTAGTTTTGTTTAATATTGAACCAACAGAGACTGTGTCAAATCATGTTTAAAAAATGTTTCTCATTTTAGACATGAAAGAAAATTTGAAGAATTTATAGTTAAACAATTAAAAAAAAATATTGCTAACTCCATGTTAGATGGTATTCTGTCTGTCATAGATAGATGTGGGCGACATCAAACATTTCTCAGACATATTTGGACCTATTGTGTTGTTCAGACTTGTCACAAAAACAATATACATGAAGTAAAAATGCTACATGTTCCATAATTGCCATGTGATTGAGATTTCAATACTTAATTAAATATATCAAACTGTTTCTCAGGCGTGATCAAGTCAAATTAGGTGAACACTTTTTAAGATAATCATGGGATAATGATGGTACAGTGCAATTAGAAAAAAAACATCTTTGTCCGACAGTTATTTTTATATTCTTATTACTTATTAGTAAACTTATGGCAAGATATTATTTTGTAACTTTATTATAGTGTTTGTTATAAACTTTCCAGCAGTTACATCTATTGCAGTATTTATTAGTATTTGTGTTTTGTAATAGTTAGTGATTACCTAGGTAATAAAAATCTCATATTGTCTTATTGAGAAATATTCTATACTGTGATTCGCATTAGTTTTCATCTTTGACATATGTCTCACAGGTGTTGTGTTGAAATACTGTAAAAACACATTGAAATAGATAGCTACTTGTCTTTTTAGCGATTTTGACTCAATACTCATTAATGAATTAACAATCTTAATTTTAAGCTAAAATGCCAACAATCTCATTTTGAGAATATACTTTATTCTAAATTAGCGACATCTTGAATTAGCAAAAATACATATTAGCTAAAATGATATGCTAGCTAAAAAGACATGTTTTACAGTATACACTTATAATATTTCTTAACTCTACAGTATGGGGTACACTTCACTTGTATGTATAATTTTAATAAATAAATTCACAAGCCGCATGAGGATGAGATTAAAAAAACTTTGTGTCTTGTCTATTAATGATGTGATAATTTTGTTTTTTAATCCTAATTGGTCCAGGAATACTAGGGAAATGGGTCTTATGTACCGGTATACGTGTTTGTACTCTGTATTTTTGTGATTTTGATATTGGGACATTCACCCACCCCCCATTCCTTGTGTGCTATATTTTCACATTTTAGTAACAAATGTAGTTTTGAAGGTATGTGTTATATGGAATAACAAATACATGTTCACCCCCCCCCCCCCACTGAGTGTTTTACTTGTGGGACATAATATCGTCAAAATAAAAACTACAATTTTTTTTCAACTTCGTTTTATTGTATTTGTAATTTTTTCATAAATTCAAACTGCCTCAGCACCTGTTGGTACATGTGGATCTACAACATGTTTTTCATCGTCTGGATTGTAAGGTCGACTCAATGGCGACAGTTGACCAGGCGGCGGTGGTATATGCTTCGTTATATCAATGATTTCGCTATGAGCTTGTGCTGGCCTCTGTTCGCTTTTCACCACTGCCCGATTATGCTTGTGTATTACATGGTGCGAGTGATTGCTGCTGTTGTGGATGCTCATCCTTGAGGCGTCCATGTTTAGGAGTGACACTTTGGCATCGAGCTGCGGTTGCACGTGTTCTGAATTATAAACGACGAGGAGACGTGGCTCTTGTTCCTGGTTCCTTGGAAAGATCAACTTGCGGACAGTTCGCATTATTATGCACGGTCCACGAAATTCTTCCCGGGTGTGAGCATTGTACGCCGTGCCGTAGATCAGTAACACATCATCCATTGTATCGTCAAGTTCAAAAACATAGTTCATTTCATGTAAAAGTGGTAGGTGAGATTTCTCTAAATGCATTTTCACTTTTTCTTGAGTCCAGTTCTGCGTTAAAATGAGAAAAATAAAGTTGAAATTATCGAACTGTTCAGTACATTGAAAATGCTGATGGCCAGAGTGTTGTAATGCACATCTTTTTTTAGACGTTGTTTATGTCAGAAATCATTTGTCACAAGGACTTACTTGATATGACTGTTCCATTAGCAGAGGCGTTGCCACACGTATAGCACAGACCCGCCATAACCGATTTTCCAGAGATGGTTCGGTCTTGAAGATAGCCATAGCAGCATAGATGTCCTCGGCACTAATGAAGAAAGCCTATTATGATAAATAAATAAATAAACATATACAAGTCATTTGATATATATCGTTAAATAATGTCGTTTGAAAAAACCATTGACATACAAGTAGAAATATCCAGTAACATTGTGGAGTCTTTATTTACGATACTTGTTCTCCAAGATGTTAATTGTGTTATGAACCCCCCAATACTGGCAATATCAGTGCAGAATTTTGATGGAATTAACGCAGCATTTCTTAATTAGATTTCGATGTTTACTCTATGACGAACTTGACTCCTGGTAAAGGTATTACCCGGTAGTGAGTATATAGCACAGTCAGCTGGCGCACACTTGATAATAAAATAAATACAATATTTACTATATGGGGCCCGCCATCTTGAATGCAGCAATAAAACTAAATAAGAGACAAGTTTGTGAAACGCGTTTTTCAGATTCCTACAAATCAAGACAAAAATA